TTATACAGACACGAATTAAGAATTATGCATAGATTCATGATTGTAGATAATTTGTACTTTCTTTGTTTTGAGTCGAGTCGAAATCTTTGTAAACTAACACCTTGTAACACTAAAAATAAACCAAAAAAATAAAAAAACAAAATAACACCATAATGAGATTGTATAAGAATAATAACTGAATTTTGTACAGTGAATGAAATATTATTAAATAAATTGTAAGCGAATTAATGCATAAAAGAAAACATCGCACATTTGAGGGTTAAAATATAAGTAATGTAAGCGGAAGTTTGGTATTAAATTGGTACTTAAATTATTAGAATTTGATTAAAATTAATTCGATTTTTGTTTCCTGTCTGCCATTCAAAGGATATGCTCAGACAATTTTTGTGAATACGTCACTTGTCTGTCGTTGTTTTTCGAGTCTATCTTCGATATAAATTTTTTGTGAAAGTAAATTTACAAATTTTGAGGTCAGGTAATGCAGAGCGTACGATCCTTCATGTGACTCGGAATATAAAATGACTTACAACACACGAGGTGATTAATTGCCCCAGCTTTGTGTGATTGATCGATATACTTTACGGGTTTAGTTTAAAAAATCCCTTAAAAACAATCCTTTGACTGCACAAAGGCCTATGAAGAGCGTTTTAAAATTCAATTTGTCATTTACGATTGAAATGTAAATGTGCGAATTCAGACACCGTGCGAACACTTTCGTTGAGTAAATAAAAACCATAGGAATTTATTTCTTAATAAATTGAAAAATATATAAAGTGGCTTAAAGAAACTAATGTTACAAAATTTAATCAAAGTAATGTATTCTCGGTAAAGGTTTGTAATTGTTTTGGTCGGGCATGGGCAACGAGAGATTATCTACTTCTTAATAAAATCGAACAAACGGTCACAGAAATGTGTCCACCCAATGTCAGTGTGGTCTGGTAAATTAAAGTTTTTTAAACAACAATTTAGGAAAATCAACGTTTTTACGCTTAAATAATAATAATTGTTACTTTTTGCCACGCAAACTCGAAGCTACGGAATTATTTAGTGAGATTTTCGTTTTTCTCCATCCTTTAAGTGTTTTGAGACACGCGAGCGAGTCGTGAGAACCTATATGTCGTTATGTTGAATTAATTGACTCTGTTGATTTTTTACATATGTGAATTGTATTATTGTTCTTCTAATAAAGAATAACTACGATAAATAATACTAAAGTTTCATCAACTATTACATAGCTATCGTTCATTTTAAAAATAATAAGCTAAAGAGTTTGTTTGTTTGTTTAAAGGCGCTAATCTAAGGAACTACTGGTTCGAATTCTAAAATGTTTTTTGAATTTATCTAGGAAGGTAAAGTCTACAAAACATCGCCCTCTTACTAATAGGAGTGAAGAAACAGCGGGAAATGTGGGAGAAAACGGGAAAAATTGTCCTTCTTTGTGGGTTTTGGCGAAACAAGATACCCAAAAATATGTATGAAAGAATGATTCCTGTTTAAACGATCTAAAAAAATCTCCGATAGTAAATGTCTACCTCTTAAGAGAAACTTTTAAGAACGACGGGACGCGGAAAACGTCATGCGTAACAGCCTAAATTTTGTTGAGTTGAACTCAAACAAATTTGATACCCAAACTACGCGGACGAAGTCGCTAACGCAGCTGGTGTTTTAATATGCACAAAAAGGTATCGATGTTTTCCACCTTAATCACGACAAGCGCTCGTTAAGGGAACACGCCGTTTGCCGCATCGGAATTATTTTATCATAATACCGTGGTTATTGCAAGGCGATATTATCCGGGCCGCTCATTGTGTTCCTATATGGCGAATGTCAAAAGCGTCGTCTTAATTATCGGGCGCGGCCATACAATGCGAGCCGATCGCGGCCAGATAAGAGCCCTATATCTAACCGGGCATTGAATGCGGACCCGCGGCCCACTACCTTAATAATAACTTCAGCCGAATGTCTCATTGTATCTTTGATTATTCCGATCTAAGCGCATTGAATCGAGATAAGAATGTTTATGAAGTAATAAACGCATTTCTCGACATACAAAAGAAATCATAAACGGGCTGCTTTATGGTAGCAATGGATGGCTATAAGCTATGGATCGTAGATTCGATTTCCACGATGTGTTTCTAAAAATAAATGTATATTTTTTCTGTTTGTCTGTAGTTTACGCGAGTAGTATATATTTAAATAAAACACTCTAATGGTTTAAAACGCGAAATATATTCGTTAAACTTATTTGAAAATTATCTTATTTACGGCCCGGCCGCTGCTGCAAGGCATCCGCAACGTCGGCCCGGCCTTTTTGAATATATGTTGTCTGCAATACGTTAGATATCTGAAAATTGTGGCTATTAAACGGATGGGAAGAGTATCGAAGTTTCGTCTGGAGAACGAACCATTGTAAAAAGATGAAAACAGTTTCAGCTCTCAGTCTGTGGATTTCTGAACGTTCAAAGCCAAGAAAGGGCGATAGCGTATAAGATTAGGACTTCTTGCTTGTCTAACTCCTATCATAACAAACATGAGAAAACAATAAACAAGTAACAACCTCAGTAAATTATACAGTTTCATGAAATCATTTATCGTCGCCGTTTTTCCGAGTGAGAAGGTATTTCCCCACCTGAACAATGCGATTCGCCGTGATTAAGAAAACAGGATTAACGAGATAGACGCTGGACTATCTGGTTATTCGAGACGTCTTGTCAAATTAACAATGAAAAAACCTCACTACATTGCGCCACTGATCCATTTATTATGTCATTTTCTTGGGAAGTAAGAGAGAACAATAAGCCAAGGGGATTTCCGATTTCCACGGCAAATAATCGAAGTGGAAGTTGCACCTTTGTGTCGACGCAAGGTCAACTTTTCCCACGACGGAGTTAATAGCTGTCTCGTAGCACGCTATACGTGTCGTTTAATTAGATCATTATCTTCAATTATTAGAAGATAAATGCACAAGTCGTCATTAAAACTATCTTGTTAATCTATAAAACAGTACGACTTTAACCGACTAAAGACTGGATGAAACATTAGGGCTTCTTCCGATAAGATTGAATTTTCACATTTCTACCTCTAAGAGGGTGAAAAAAGAGACAGTTTTCTTATGATAAAGACAAACGTAGTGTTTACTTGATGGAAGATGTCCTAATCTAAATATCCTAGCCATGCTGTCCTAAAGCATCAGCAATGTGCGCCGTCGACCTATTTTGCCTTTTCAATTCACCGGTTGAAACTTAACGGTTTTTTCATCTGTGGGCGGTGGTTCGTGATCCGGACAATGCAATATTTCTACCACATATCTAGATTTAAGACGATATCCAACATGTTTAAGAAAAATTATAAATTTATTATAAAAATGTGGGACCCGATGGGGGGTTGATTATTACCTATACGTTGCTACTATTAGATCAACGAGTTCTTCATATTTTTTGGACATTCGATTAGATAGACTTGGTTAGTCAAAATTGTCTGTAAATCTAAAACAAATGCACAACTTGTGATTAAAACGATGTCGTTAACTCTAACCGAATATAATGAATTTCCAAATGTTACACCTCTGTTTATTATTATGATTCAAATTAGTCCGATTTCCATAAATTATAAGTCATAAATATTCAATGTCGCGTCTTGTTAACGAATGTGAAAAAAATAGTTGGATATTGAATTTTTTGTGCGGATAAAAAGCGGTGGTGGTCGTCATGAAAGTGAATACTCGAAGGTAAACAACCGGGAGCCGTGTCGTGAAACTAATACGACAAGCCTGCGGTCAGCATCACACTGGAGACGAGTATGTGGCCGGACAAAAAGAAATTCACAATGAAATTAATGTGTGATTTTAAGTAAAACGGTTTGAAACGGGAAATTTATTAATTAACTATTAGTTAACTTATTAATTTCTACCAGTAAAATTTATAAGTTAACTAATATATTTAGCGCTAATATGTAAACTACAGACAATATTGAAATTACTTTTTCACCAATACTTTACTTTGAATTACGATAATGTTATTGTGTCTTTTCTTATTATCATTGTATTGTTATTTATATACTATGCCTATGTACGTATTGATTGACTAAATCTCAATAAAATAAACGAATTTAATATTCCACCAGTTGTCTCCGCTGCATGATAATTAGGTAGACTGGTTTGTGTACCGATCATGTTTTACGGTCATTTGTTCTCTAAAGTAAGCTTTCTAAGATCCGAGAGAGGCAAACATCCGGCCTTTAACCGTTAAGGGCTAAAGCTGGGCGAAATACTCACAAATCTTACTGTTTCGTATTGACCATTTACATATTGTGTCAACACTAGTTTGGTTATCTGCGTTGCAGGGCTATATCTTTGAATATTTTTGAGTTTCACTGAGTGGATCCCGTTTCTACTGCGGGGTTTGGGACAGATACATTTTTATGTCGCACTGAAAAATGTTCATCATGTATTTTTATTCATATTTATTTACGCGAGCTAGGAATGCCTTAAATGTAATCACTTAAATTCTTTGGTCGTTTCAAACTTAATAAAGCGCATTTTCACTCGTTCAAAGTAGTTTTATTTACGGTTGATGATGAAAAAAATAAATATAAACCGTTAAGAGATAAGATATGCAGGATAGTTGTGTTCATTGAAAACAAATGAGTATCTGCAGTGAGCCTATCTAATCTATTAAAGCATAGGTTCTATGTTCGCATTTAATAAGACGAATAAAGGAGATTTCTACTTGACGATGGTGCTACGAACATTAGAAGTTGTGAAGTTAAAAAAATTTAAAATATGGTGTTAAACGTTTTGTACTTATAACACTACTATAATCAAAAGTAAATAAAAACGATCCGTAATCATATCGTACATTTGACGCAAAAATATATATTTAAACTCATTAAAAAAAGTGAGGATAGTTAATGTCCTTAAATAAACTAATACAACCCAAGAACATTGTTGTTTTAAAGGTCTTATAAAGTTTATTTCTTGTTGTATGATAAATGACACTTACCTTCACCGTTTGATTCTTGAGCGGTTTATCGGGATCATGGACGTACTCCAACGTGATGCCATAGAACTGTCCCTTATTGATGTAAGTTATTCGATCGTCTTCCCTTCGCTGCGAACTACTGCTCGCCGTCTCTAAATGGTACTTGAACCCGTACGGTGAAAACCTACGAAACGAACATAACGTTAGCACACATGTTCAGACAGTGTCCAATCTTAGTCAGACATTCAAACAACTATATTAAGATCTAGATCACAGCTCGCAAGTAACAAAGTAGCACAGTAGAATGACAACGGCTCGTTAGACGGCGGAGTTACAGGCCGGGTTTCTTGTAATTTAGAAAAAGTGCGATTTCTTTGAGATAGTTATCGTCAGAAACGCGCTCTCGACAATAAAGTTTCCGCGAAGTGTAGCAATAAAGGAGCGCAAAAAGTTGTAAATCTTAATTGCGCGGGTCCGCGGCTCGAATGCGCTTCGTTACATAAAGCTATGTTTTTCCAGAGCGCAACGCTAAGTGAAAAAGTGTGTAATCTCACGATTTCCCGCGCTCGCACACAGCGGAAGGGAAATCCCAATAAAATTAGCTCGGATCGCGTGTTGCGTGCCGCCGGGAACGTATCGTGAAAACGGCGACGAATCAATTCGGTCTATTGCACAAGACGCGCGTCGTCGTCGATCTCGATCCCCGGCCCACGCCGTCGAAGCCTCCCCGCGAGAGACCGATTCGGCCCCTCATTATCGGTACCCTTCATGATTCAGGCCCTTAAATTGTGCAACATGATAAAAAGCTATAAATCGACACGGAATATTTAAACCGACAATAAATTGAGGCAAACAACGGAACGTAGATAGCTTACGACGGCTCAGTTCTCGAGTTGCTTACGCCATTACTTAGAGCTTATTGAAAACAATTTGGTAAACAATTCGAGTGATGTTTGCGATTTAAGCGAGCGCGCACCGATAAGGCTGCGCAATGCAAACCCGGCCCGACATTGACGGATCGGCCGCAGCGGCCTATCTGATTCCCCCCGTACCGAACATAATTTCCATTTGTGACGGGGCTTTCCATTGTAATTGCTGCGCACTTATATTTCGCTTCGAATCTGAATGTCCGTCCAATAGTCGAAAAACGCTTTCCATAAATCGAAGTCGGGAGAAAATCGAGAGATGGCGCCGTATTTTATCACCTGGGCTTCACCCGTCAGCGGCAATAAATAACGCATTGTTTTCCAATGAGCTTCATTACAAATTTCAGCAGCGCAGCGCCCGAAAAAAGATACTTCCTGCGTGAAGACGAGAGCCTTTCATGAATAAATCAACGGACGAGGCGCGGAAATTGATGAGCGAACAAAAAGCCTCGGAACGCAACAACAAAGTGCTCGCAATAAAAACGCACGACGCGATAAGAGTGAGCCAGCGACGTCCCGCGGGGCTCTGAGCTGCGCCGCCAAATTAGATGCGCATAATCCGACCCTCCCATGTATTACTTCGCCACTTACTAGTTACTATGCAACGCAATTCTAGTTATTTTAGTAAATCATTATTATTTTTTTATCTGGACTGATAGGTACTAGAAATCTCCTTAAACATTCTAGATACCGTTTAACAAGTAACTGTTAGTACTTTTTCATATATTAGATACTTAGTATCCCCATTTAAAATGTATCATTGTTAGTAGTAGAACTTGTAAAACGGATCACTTGATTTATGAAAAGTTATAAGAAAATATTGAAACACCAGTTAATGATTTAATTTAAGTGCTTAACTGGAATAGCTATCTCTCTTTAACTGTTATTGAGCCCGGCCGTAAGAAATATTTCAGGATTCAAACCTGGCAGTGACTCCACAAAACCGAGAATACATTAGAATCACCGAAGAATTATTTTGGTATAACAAAATTTAACTAAACTAACTCTTCATAATAACAAAGATCGATATATGTATGTCCAGTTTTTAATTCTTATGTTTCTTTTTTTCTTTGACATTAGAGACACCCTCCATATTTAGTCCCTTAGTGACCACGGCTGCTGCAAAGCATCCAAAACGTCAGCCGTTGTTGAATTTGTTTTAAACAAGTTTAACTAATATATGTCGCGTTTTAAACCGTTGGAGCGTTCCAAATTTAAGCAAGCATGCTTAAATAATATCTTAATTAATGAAAGGAATGCTCTCCGTAATCGTTTCGCGAATATGGACAGCATGATGTAAGGATCGCGTGCAAGCCGCAATCCGGAGCCGTCTCATTGCAGCGAGTAATTAGTGCCTATGATGCATGCATGCATATGCTGCATAGATTAGGGGTAATGCAAATATAAACGAGAAAGATTAGTGAAGCACTTAGAGGAAGGTGTAAGCATCTTAATTCATTGAGCTACATCACAGCGCAGGAAGCCATTTGAATGTCTACTTTGCTTTTCTAGTTGTTAATCGGTAACGCACACATCGGTGATTGAGTGGCTAGATTTTAAGATCCTGTTTCCGACACGGTTTGTACTTAAATAACGAACAGAGTGAGGATAAGATGCAGAGGTTTTAAATTAAAATGTTATCATAACTATTGCGTTTCTCATGCATTATACAACTAGCTGTGTCAACAGGACTTCGTCCGCGCAGAATAGTTAATTTGGGCATCCAAATTTGTTTTTGCAAACCTCTTTAACGCGACCCGTCCTTCTTGCAAGTTAATCCTAAAAGATAGACATATATTGTCGCGGCCATTTTTTAAGATCATTAAAAGAGAAATAATTCTTTGACACATATTTTGTGGGTATCTTGAACCGCTTTCATCGGAAACCCCGATTTTTACACATTTTCCACTTTTTCTTTGCTCCTATTATCTACAGTGACGTTGTATAGCCTATAACCTTCCTCGATTAATGCTCTAACCAACACAAAAATAATTTTTCATATTCCGACGAGTAATTCAAGAGATTAGCGCGTCCAAGCAAACAAACTCTTCAGCTTTATATATTAGTATCGATATAGACGACTATCATGACCAACATTTACAGATGTAATATTTTCTATATGTTTCTGCACCTATATAATAACATTATATAAATTAATAGTTTATTCTGACTGAAGAAAAATCGGCGAGACGGTAGCTCAAATGATTAGCAGCAGCACGGGACACTGCGGATGACGGTCAATTTTTTTTTATAAATTTTTAATATTTTTTTTACGCATTTAATTATAAAATGTTGAAAACATGACTTAATACAAAGTTCATTTACTCAATTATTTTTTTAGCAAGAAGTATGGTTCGATGTGTAGATTTATATGTGATATGATAATTGTTAAAAGTTTAAAGCCAAAATAATACCACAAAACGGTATGCATTGCATTAGGCATGTATCTCCCCAAAATGTTCGTAATTATTGATAGCAATGCTAATACACTTATCATAATAACCAATGTACACCATCATTTATTTGTTAATTTTGAGTGCATTCAGAGAATTCAACATGCCCAACAGCTACACTACAATCTACGGTTCGTCTATTAACGCTTTTAGAAGATATTTGAACAGACAAGATAAACCGATTTCGTTAAGTAATTGATACACAGAACATACATCATACTTACACGAATGAATACTTTCCATTGAATGCGTGAAAAAATAAAACGATTAATTGATAACGTGTCGCAATTCCGAGCTATATTAATAGCGGACTATAAAATGTGTCTAATAGTTTGTACACATACGTACCCGACAATTCATGTGATAAGAGAATGATAAAATATAAAAGTATCTATTAACCAGGGCAATACCCTGACTGAACATAAAAAATTTAACCTTTTTAAGTAAACTTATGTAAAAAGTATCTACGATGGGTAAAAACTATTTTAGTAGTTAGTAAGTTAACAGATGATAAAAATATATTCAAACAAAGTTTAGTCTTTTTTGCCCCCCACATGTCCCGAAATATCTTTTGAGAAAACTGATTTCCTGTCATTCCTTATTTAATGATTTTAATATGGTAATGAAACATCTATTCTTAATTATTGCACAACATAAACAAAGGTCTATTCTATTTATATTTCCATTCCATTATTTTTGTTGAATATCAATAGATTCGGGAAAGGAAATTACTAATACACACGTGCACGCCTCTATACTTGTATTGATAACTCACGAAAACGATATTAGCACCTCGAAACTGTACACTAAACATGTTAATGACCCGATACTGAATTGAAACATTCCATTAGACAATACCGATATAATTCACTACAGTGTACATACTACTGAATTATTGAAAAAGGTGCTTTATTTACACGTTAACGATTTAAAACGCAATATGTATTAGTTAAACTTATTTGAATATTATTTTAACTACGGCGGCAACACATATATGTCACGTTTTAAACCGTTACAGTAATTTATTTAAATGTATATATACTCGTAAAATCTGGGGTTTCATTGAGTAAATGTGAAATGCCCTAGCCTCATAGAACCTAATTGAGATGATTCAGACATCTAAGTGAAAATTTTTCCTCCACGGCTTTTCCACCTATTACTTCTAATATTGATATATATAACACAATTCCACGAGCGTCAGGTGACTAATAATAAAAACTTCTATGATCAAATTTCTTTTAATCTATAAGTATTTTTGACTAATTATATTTGTTTGTGAATCATTGGCTTCAAACTATTCAGAATAAATGTAGATTATAATCTGATGTTAACACTCTATATATTATTATAAATTTCATTAATAATGCGATCTTCTGAACTTAATAAAAAGTTATGTAAACAAGTTTTCGTTGTACACTGAATCCTATTTCAAGTCGTTAAGGACAACGTTATCCGAAGAATGATTTGATGTATTTGTAGATACTTACACTTTAGCAATTTGTATTTTATCGGCATCGTTCTGCCTGCCGAAGTCGTGCCAGGGTCGCGTGCGCGGCGCCTGCGCAGGCGAGTGGTGCGCTGCAGGAGTGCCCCTCCCGTCCTCGCCGACGCCAGGTTGTTGGCATATCACCGTGTACTCGAACGACTACAAGATTTAAACAATCATTAATATCATTTAGCCAAGCTGAAATAATAATATTAACATAAATAACTAGCTACATCAAAACGTTCAATAGAAGATTATAGCCATATACAAGTCTACCAATTGTGTAGACATTTCTCAAATATTTCCTATGTTTAATAATATTTCTTAATATAATCAATATATTGTATAATTACGGTTACATAAATAAATGTAAGTAATATTTCAGACACATTAAACTTTTTTACTGTTTTAATTAACACGGCTTCCTTAAACCAAAAAAACCTTACGAAACAAAAATATAGGTATACACTACTAGGTGTTATCAAGCCAGAAGGTCTCTACGTCATTACAATTAATGTTTCTGTTTTTCACTAATCAATTAAGATAAACAGTATTCAACAAAAATACTTTAAAAGAGCGCAATGTATATTTACCTACTCAAAGTTAGCGAATTTTAAGTGGACACAACGCGGTGTCGATTTCATTTTCTCACTGAAATATTTGCTTTTATTAAATTTATTTTATTTAATCTATACTTGCATAAATTACTGTGTACTTTAGAGAGATTAAAAATCGAAAAGAAATTGAACAATTTTTCAACTCGGGTAGGACTTGAACCGGCATTATCAGCGTTCCGTGCTGTTGCTCTACCAATTGAGCTACCGAGTCAGTACTTTACAAAATTCTCTTGGTACGCTTTTCAAAAGTACTACAAACGTTTAAAAAAGATATTAACAAAAGAGGTTCTTAACTAGATTTTAACTGAATAATACTACTGATTTTTGTAGGGTCAGGCAATATGAAATAGAAGGCAGTATGAATTTTTATAAATAAACGCAACACACGCACTATTACTAAAATATTCCTCAATTTGTTTTAATTAACCAAACCAAAGTCCTTGATTAATAAGTGACAGCAATTGAAACATAATATTGAGTTGTTTTTATGCTGTTTTAGTAGGCAAACTTAATTGCGGATATAATAAAATTTATGACGGATATTTTATATAAGGAAGGGAAACCCTTGAGATATTATAAAGAAGAAACACTTTGACGTCGTGGTTATTATTTGCAAGCCAATTTCTATTCAAAGATACACGTTTCCGTCACAAGGAAACTGTAGGACTCGCTTGGTAGCTCGATTGGAGCCTGCCCGAGTCGAAATGTTTTTCAATTTATTTTCGATTTTTAAATTATATAGTGCCTTCATGTGCAATAACATGTAAAAAATAATAAAGTTTTCAAAAGAATATTGTTATTGATATATCACTACATAATTAATGTTAGGTCGGGATTCGAACGCAGGACCTTGATCCTATTTACTGAAATCCCTTTATTTTGATCGAGATAAGCAAGTTGATGATTTGATGGAAGATGTAATACCTAATTTTTCGACATTGCTACCACCTATTTTATATCCATATTTTCAGACGAAGTTCCCCATATTTTAGGAAAACATAAATGTGTTGAAACCCGGGGGGGTCGAACCCATGGCCCGTTGATTATGCATGCATTGCTACTATACCTTTAAAATTTCATAATAACAACTTAACTATCATAGATTGTTAAGGACACGACTGTATTTGCACTTTGTAATAATAAGCCGAAAATCTAAAATGGTGAATGATTTCGCAATAACTTCTCGATGTAAAATTACCAGTGGTGCCTTAACTAGCCGCCGTTGCTCAAAGTTCAATAAGCTATTAAATTCGTAGCTGACGATAAAATTCAGTAAGTTAGTACTCTAAGTTACACGCGTAATAATCAAGTTATGTTTATTGGATTAATTCCTAGTTTACTTCAACACAATAAACAATAGATAACGTTTGATTCGGATCGAGCTGGTCGCGACCGGCTCGTGAGCGCCACACCTTGGAGCTTGGCAGTAAGAATAAGTCCTTCAAAACCACTTATTTGTTAACCGATTATAATTCAACCGCGTCACTTTGTTATTTTAAATATGTGAACCTATATCGTGTCTAATGTAGATTGGCAAGTTTCACAACAGATAAAAAAGATGGAGCACTAAAATATAATTTGAGAACATTAATAATGACGTCATAAAGTTGAACATACACAAACAGTCTTATTAGATTGTGTATGTTAATACGAGTTTTCTCTAATCTTATTTATTTTATGCCAGCATAAATTTCTTGCTGAACATAATCTATGTTTTTTTTTTCTCAAGGCACCTATGTTATCTGTGATACTGTACTCAAAATAAATGCATAGGTGTAAACTGTCAAATTTGTCATTCTACATCTGACAGCTGTATTTAACAAAGGCAGTTTTTCTTAGTTGTCTAGTTCAAGGTCTTCGTAGGGATTATTGTTTTATGTTAATATCTAAATTGCTAGGCTACAATTGTATCAATGGAGCTACAATTTACGATAGCATTATCTAATGATCTTTTAATTTATGCAATTAATAATTAGCTCGGCTTACGTGCATTTCAAATAAATCATTACGTGTACGCATTCCTAATGGATTCTTATTACCGAATGGCGAGTTTATTGGTCCGATGTATGGCTAATAAACGACGGGTCTTCGGTTCGATTTTCACAGGATCAAATATTTTTTTACATAATTATATATTTATTCTGAAACTCAACAAACAAAACAAAACATGAACAGCGCCGTTTAATTACGATTTTATGTAGCGTCTTTATTTATATATTATTTTAATCTATTTATTTTATAAATGAGCCTTGCAAATCTTAGCAATTTTTTTAAGTAAGTCTTCGCATAGTCAAGTGTATGATTATTTGAACTTACATAAACTAAAATGTGTATTCAACAAATTTCAATAATCAATATTAACTCATTCCCCACTTGCGGTAACGTGAGTTATGTGATCGTTTTATGTTTTATTTGCCTTTTTGTTCGATGCTTTCAATGTATTGTTTGAGTTGGGTACTGACCGTTATTGCCTATAACCTTCCAGCACTTATAAGTGAAGTACCGTTTTCCCTACCTGTGCCACGGCTGTCCCATGCATGTGTCGAGTACATAAATAGAATTCTGTGCCCCGCTAGGCCGAAACTTTTTACTTTGTTTATCTAAATGTCGAATCTTTAATGTGTTATGCATTTACGACAGAGGTTGCAAGGCGGTTCTAGTATCTCTATTATAATGCATATACAACACTGGAAATAAGAAAAATAGACACAGAAAGTGACGGAGCGCGGGAGGGCTTCGGCTATGAAAGTGTCGTGTCTTTTCATGTAATAATTTGCCACTTCCCATAAGCGTCACCTAAAAATAAGGGCAGGCTTATGTAACGTTACTCTATGTTATCGACATGGAAATATACGGAAAATCTTATTAGAATATTTGCCATTTCAAATAGAATTTTCAATGTATAAATGCCATACAAAGTACATATCGAACAAAGCGTCAGTAAAACAGTTAAAGGGGGTACATAAGAATAGCTGTGCATAATTTTCACATTGACATATCATTTCAAGGCTGACTCTGACACCTCGTTCGACAAGTACTTTGGCTGTGTGTCAAGTGGTGTGTGTGTGTGAAGCCCGCCCGCCCGCGCCCGTTTCGTTGCACCGACCTGCTGAACAGCTGTGTGGTCTCGAGGCGTGACTGCGTCAGCCCCAATGCCACTGTCCGGGGACGGTAGATCGACGGTGAGCCCGGCCGCCGCTATCACGCTCTTGCTGTGATATCTGGGCGCCGCGTAGCGTTCCCCGAACGCCGAAGCCGAGGTCGATTCCGTATCGCTATAAGGCGGCGCCGCTCTCTGCTGGTACCCGTCGCCGACGAAGTACTCTCTGTAATAGGGCTCCCCCGAGAAGGCGGCGGACTGACGAGGGTACTGGTCGCCGTAGGGCGTCGGACTGGGGGTGCCCGGCGGGGCGAACATCTGAGCGGCGTACATGGCCGCGTCCGGCAGCAGCGAACCCGCGGACGAGGCGCGGGACGGCACCGGGGACGGCGAAGCTTCGCCTGGCTCGCCGACCGGCACCTGCGGACACACGCGCCTGTTACACGCGTTCTCCCACGACAATTGTCCGCTCCGTAACGTCGACGCGTACATGCCGCGTCGAAGCACAGTTCACAGCTCCGAAAGCACTGACGAGTTCTAATGATCACTTTAAGTTATCCCGGGTGAGGTGCACTGGGCGGGCGCTAGCCGGCCGGACCGGGGCGCGGGCGGGCGCGGTTACAGCGTATCGAGCGAAGCGCTCGTCGCATCGTACGTAAGTCGCGGTAAATAAAACATGAGTGACCGGTAAAGAAAGTGTGTGAGTGCGTGCGCGCGCGACGGCGGCGAACGAACGTGTGACGCACCTTGTGTCGCGGCGGCTTGAGCGCGTGTTCGGGCTCCTCGACCACCTTGCGGCTCAGATCCTCGGGCTCGCGCTTCACGAGGCCCGCGTGCAGCAAGCCCGACAGCTCGCCCAGCTCCGCCCCGTGCGCCCCATTGGCCGCTTTCAGCGCTCCGCCGGCCCTGCGGAGGGGAGAGGGGCGTGATTGGCGACAATGCGCGCGCGCAGCTATTTCTATCGGCTTTGCGTTGCGCGCGCAAATTCGCTATTTTTATTACTACAAATAATATTTTGATCATAACAAATATACATCGTCACATAATATCTGTCTCTTACAATAATATAACTTTTGGGACATGTATATTTTTAATTAACAATAAATATAAAGTTCTGAGAATACATAATGTCTATTGTATTCATTAACTAATTAACATCTTTGAAAATGGTTAACTATCGATTTTAATACAAAATACATTAGTTAGTTAAGAAAACGTTAATGAGTGCTTTTTGGAGTTAGTGTTTTTACATTTTTTTATAATTATCAAATGTAGCACTTCGACAAAATAATCTTTTAAGAAGATATTAAACCATTTAGGCCACGGAGAGTGAAGTAAAATATAAGGAACAATTCTAATACTATATGCATTAGTTGGATATCAAAAACATTGTTCTCGGTTTAGTAAAAAGTTAAAAATCGTTGATCTATCACAAAGATAATGCAATCGAAAATCGGACAGTAAGTAAATCAAGCATCGACGAAATACGCACTTGTAGAAGAAACAAATAGTTTGTCTGGTCATTTAGCTACAGCCTTTTGTGGACCACGAATTTTTTATTGCATTATGGACCTTGACCCCTTGTCCATCTAGTGGGGAGTTTTCTTAAAACTGATGCATACTTAGGTATAATCAAATGGGCTAATTAAAATAGTGGGGAGCATGGAACAATTTTAAATACCACCTACGTTTATCATTTAATTAGATATACTTGTTGCAAAATTAAAAAGTCAAAATTATAATATTGTGCTCCATTGTAGAATGATATTTACAAATTTAGGAAGTTTTTTAACAAAGATAAGTAAGCCATACAAAGGGAAACTAGAGTGACAAGGCGTTTTATAATTTACTAGCTGTTTCAGCTACTTCGTCCGCGAGAATCGTTATTTCGCGTAAAAATAAACAAACTCTTCAGCTTTATTATTACTATAAGTGTTAAATAGTTTGTAAACACATATTTATTTTTGCATTTAATCGCCACCGTAGCTCAATAGTGTAGCAAGTTGCCGAGCATAAATATAAGCACGAGAGACACTGAAGTGGGGAAATAATAGATTATTTCGGCTTGGCAAAAATTATTAGGTATATATTATTTCCATAGAATTACCCTTTTTTTTAATTTGATTCGATTAAACAGGTCATGTCTGTAAATTTTTACTGTACCCTAAATATAACACATTTTACAGTTTAAAAGACTAAATACAATTGTTAACTTATTTAGAAGTTATTTTAACTACGGCCCTATGTGTTGGATGCTTTGCAGCAGCCATGGTTGTGTAGGGACTCTGTCTATCCCTTCGTCGTCGTCGTCATTATCGTTCACTCGTTTTAAACCGTTAAAAGTGTTTTATTTAAAAAGATAGGTATAATTAAATACCATAAATTGTGTCGTTCAGCGATGAACATTGAAAACAAATACCGAGAACGTAGTTACATTAAATTTGTTTGATTTGTTCGCACACGAGGCGCGTCTTTCGTCGGTCGGCGTCAGCAGTCGCCGATTTATGATAATTGAAGACGCGCTCAGATGTTTATTTTAGATAAGAGAGCCTCGTGGCACTATTTCATGCGATTCGTTTGGAACGACCTCCCGCGAGCTGCAGGACTTCAGAATACGACAGCAATAAGACGGGTTAGTAAACAACGGGTCGTGGGTGCGATCCCCGCCAGGTCCAACGATTTTTTTAATTTTTCTGAAACATAGACTTCGTCTAGAAATCTGGATATAAAAGGGGTGGTAGGAATATTGAAACTCCATCCACAATCCACAGATGAAAAAGCCGTGAAGTTTCCGGTTTGTCGATTTCCGAATATCCAATGGCAAAATAGACCGACAGCGCATCTATACAGATGTTATTGCTTGGATATTTCACTTGCCAATTGAAATTGAAAAGTGTGAAGACACATGATAAGAAACTTATTTAAAACTCGCGTCGAAGCAAAACTTATCGCCAAGGGAGAGGTCTGTTTTGACATTAAGCAGAATATACAACTGATGTTTTTATAAAACATGCAAATGAACGAAGTTAATCTGGGTAGAGCCCGCGGCGCAGTAGCGAAGTATATTATAGTTATTCATTTACCTCGAGTACAATGCGCTGTTTGCTTGTCATTTATTGTGAGATCTTATAGACAGCCCTACGCAGACAGCTGAGGTCTCGGCAGTAAGGCAATCGACAGTATAATAAAGTGTAAATTGTTTTGCCACAGCGAATGTAATGATTTAGGGCACAGACTATTAACGAGCGCGGAATTTGACTGTTTATAGACTATAGTGCCTAAATAATCATTTTGTGATACCTGGCTCAAGATTTGTTAGGAGCTGTACTTACTTAGTAGCAGTAGAGGGAAATATATTTTGGCATAAATAATACTACATGGTTTTAAATTTCAAAACTCTATGAACATGAAAAATAAAACATTGCAACTTTTTAACGAGACACTTTTTCGTATTATGAATAAAGCGCTACTACACTATAATATCGACAATCTAACATTAGGCATTGTATGTATTTAACGCGAGTATGTATTTAAATACTTTTAACGGTTTTAAATGTATATAAACGTTATATTATGTATGTCTAAAATAAACATTGCAAAACATCCAAAAACTAAGATCGTAAATAACGGGTGAATATAGATTTAGATTTTTAAGCCGTTATATGTGTTCTATTAAACAGACAAAACCAATAAAATATTCTCTCAGGCTCCTAAATCTCTAATCTGATATCAGTGTCATGTTGCGCAAAATTAGCATCACAGTGTGCGTAAGAAAAGTAAGAAAGTATCTCGTGCAATTCTACCTACCTTTCGGATGCAAATACGTACAATTTCAATGAATGAATAATCGGGACGACCCGCACTCGTATATCAGATGCCTTTATAATTATTTGCAATGTTTACTTAACACCCTTTCACACATGAACAGACTCGTAAAGAGCGGGGCTCCGAGCCACCCCTCGCGACTCGAATCCGAGATAACAATCGTTGCACATTTCATCAGATATCGGATTAAACCGCGTAAGATATCTGTTTTCAAAACAAAATTCCACTCGGCGATATTAAACACACGCTGTCCGCTAATAGATACGCATAATGTATTAATTAATTACACAGGAAGGCATAACCTCGATAAATTTAATTTACTACATTCGTCGTCCGAAGCATATTTAATATCAACAGTTAGTTTACGTATAAAAGCGTTAAGCGTGTTCACATTATAGGTTAAATGTTTCTCGAGTTGTTAAGAGCTTCGATTAAATTAAAGCTCGGGAGATAGCATCTAAAAATAAATAAATATCTCTTACTCTGTACTAGTAGATAAGCCGTACTCTCGGGTCGTGTTAGAGCGCGATAAAAATCAAAGGCGACGACGGTTTAAGATCGTTTGACGAATAGATTAGAATCTATCAAACGATAAAGCGAGATGAAGAAGGCGCTCGCAGCGGATGCTAGTAACGTAATTCCATTCTATTTGAATATATCATTCGATAAAATGTAGGTTTATTGCCACTTTTCTCACGGAACTAATATCTTTTTGACATTAACAAAAACTTAGATTGGAAACATTTCGCCGCTCGTATGAGCCATTAATTGTGTACTGGACTTTCCAATACCATTTTGTTTTGGTATTAAAGTGATAATTAATAAGTTATTTTTATCACTTTGGAGATTATAGCACGCTTGGACTATTTTACGATGTCGAATGTTTATTTTTCACTGTTGCATACAATTCTAAATCTGTATTTAATTTAAATGTATTCAATGAAAAATGTTATTGCACATGATGACATTGAATATTATATATACAAATAAATAACGAAAACCCAAAACGTTATTTTCATGTTGTCGATTGCAATTGACTTCCGCCAAAATTTTATTTTTAGGTAAATCGTAATACCTACCTACCTACATATTAATATGCACAACTTTCATCTTAGTACTTGGCTGTCAAACTTATCCATTTAAAATATACGTTAGGTACCTACTTACGTAGATAATATGTAAGCCTAACGTAGCAACATTAAAATTAAATGTCTTTAATACGAGTATATCAATGATATAAATGGCATAGAAAAGAAGCAAGAATATAAAAGAAGTACCCGAAGAATGGTCAAGCCCCGATTCCTCAGTGTACGATGACCATCGCTTTGTTAGGAAAATAACGAAGTCGCCATTGCTATCTTTTTACCCATTATCTTGCGAAGGGTCGGGTGTTTCCAGGGGAGCTGAACGGTATTAACTGCTGTGTCAGGAACAATAGGAGATGTCTTCGAGAGGAACCGGTTTCAGATCTAAATGGGTCACACGGTTCCGACCGATGTATAGTAACCGCGTTATTGCTATTTCATTCGTGATTTTTTTAATAGCTACTTACCGATGGCGCAACTTGGAAGATTTCGAGAGCATCTCATTTAAATATGTAATTAAACACTAAGTGAATTTTTATCGGCTTCGCTAGGACATAAATAACGGGCTTTCGAAAGCTCTAACGCAAGATTTTCCTCCATTGACGAAATGAAAGTGGGGTCAGACAATTAAATATACCTTGAGGTCACTTGCGCGTATTCCTATGCTAATCCTAACGCAAATACAAGACTTCTCGGCACGTACAGATATAAATAGCTGCCGTTTACATCGGTACAACTGTCCACGTTATGAGACTCGCCTCGCCCGCGCACAGGCGACGCTTTACGAAATGTTTCCGCCTACTCGAACATCTATACAGTGGACTAGAAACTTCGTGCATTCAATTCAAATATTACTGGCGATTTAGACGAGAAAAATTCTTCTATTGCGTCTGACGATGTTCTGGCACTGAACTATATTCGAGTGGATTAGCATACAAACAAGCGCGCGGCGACAGGGCACGGATGGGTGCGGACGACTTCGAGTATGCGTACTTTGCGTTAGCTTGTACCCGCGACTTTGTCTGCGAGAAATATTAGTGAGTACAGTATTTTCAATATCTGTTATATTACTGGCATTACTGCCTAATTACATTAATTTTATACTATCTGTGTCAGCGACTTTGTCCGCGTATTAAAGTTATTTTAGGCATAAAAAATTGTTTTCAGACATATAGTGTCTCGCAGCGTACGCTTCAGAAAACCACAAAAATGAATACTTTTCCACATCCTTTTTTCTACATTTCCCTCTGTTTGTTAAGTCCTATTTCTCACATGTTTTATACCCTAAAGGCGTTCCTCGATAAATGCTCTAACGAACACAAAAATATTTCATTTGAACCAGTAAAGCTTCAGCTTTACAAATTAGTATAGATAAACTGTAAAAACACCTGTGCAGTATTTATTGGTGATAAGCGATGCAAATACATAAAATAAACGCTTTTATTTTCTCTACTTTGTTTACTTTCGTTCCCCTATCTAAAATTTGGTTTATACGCAAACAGACATACCATTGCGATTGGTACATTATAGTGGAGGCTTCGAATGTATGAATGAGAAATAGCTGTGCTTCGGAGGCGCGTGGGCAGCGCCGACAATGAGCCAAGACAAGTCCTGGGCGTCCTTGTCAATGTTAGCCGCTTCCAGCCACATCCGTCGCTTGTCGTTCCTATTTATGCACTCCCGTACAATGACGGAGATGACATGCAATTAAATAATAGGAAACAGTTTGAGAACCTGTGACTCGCGGTGACGCTTTGTTTGTAACGCCATTGTTCCTGTAGTTTTCGTAACAGGTTTAAATAGAACATCTTTGACTGTTCAAAATGCGAAATATTTTCACTGCATTACCAACGCCCGTTGTCAATAGTGACCTACTGCAAAGCATCCGAAACGTCGAATCTTAGTTAAAAAAAAAAATTACCGAGTTTTAAGCCAATAAAGAACGCCTTATTTAGAGTCATTGTTTGGGCTTCTCTCGTTTTCATATCAGGAAAAGCAATAAATCCTAACCTAATTTAATATAACTTCCGAGGACTTAAATCAATAAAAATGGTCTAGAAAATATTGCCAAGTGAATACGACTTAACAATAATTTAATTAACATGTGGATAATATATAGCATATTATTGGTGTGCTAACAAATAATAATTTTTAACAGAACTGGAAGATACGTAAGTATAGTATTTTATTTATTATTTTTTTTATTTATTTAAACTTACAATCAAACGGTCTTACATAGCACTTAATTAACAATAAAACTTAAAGAATAAACGAGGCTAGGCCTTATAGATTGCTTACATCGCTATAACGGGTTAAATTACAGAAGTGAGAAGGAAAAAAAGGAACTTAAGATAAAGATTTTTTTTTTTACTTACGTATTTTCTTCTATTTAATTGAATATTTATTTAAAGTTGCTATAGAAGCTTTAGAGTATTAAATACCGTAACTTCAGTACTTTAATGCTTAAACTATTAAAAAATAATAATAGTGTCACTGGATTATTAAGTACCTATTTTGAAGAGTGTCACATAAAAATAAGCCCAAAATATATGTAAGGCCACGATGATAATGGACTTAACGCAGCGGAGAACATTTCGAATTTTCGTGAATTAGAACTAGTTTAACTTTTTAACGTCGTGTATAATAAAATTTCCATAAAAGAATAGAATCGGGATGGCGAGCTGTTAACGTTATGCACTCCCTTCTTTAGTGTCACGGCGTTTGCTCATTTTTGTGTCGCATTCAAAGGATGCTGTTAACAACCACTTTGAAAGAGCGAGGATAATTTGATCGGGGTCGCGTTTCTATGGGAATGCCGTTGAATGCATTATCACTGTCATTTTATACTGAAACCTTTAAAAGTGCCAAATTCAAAAAGTTTACAACATAATGTACACGACAAGACGAAGCTTAAAAACAGTGTTAAAACGGAATTAATTATAAATATCAATTTTTTTTCGTTGGTAATTTAGATTCAATAATAATTACGCAAATCTTTTTTTTTAAATATCGAATAGCTTTTTATTTGGTAATATTTAACTTCACTGATAGTATACTAAAGAACGTGACAAAACAACAAATCGAACTGCAAAAATATGTTAATTTCAGCATGATATACGCGAACAGGGGAGAAGGCTCAAGGCGGTTGCGAATTCCTTCGATAATCTCGGCATAGGCATTCAAATGAACGCTTATGATTTATTGAGTGGAACATTAGCATTTTTATTATTTGTTATTCTTACACCTTTGCTGAGGGCCGGAAGCCACGCGGCCTGTGTCTCTGTCTAGTCAGCCGTGAGACTCGAACAACCCTACGAGGAGTTGCTGCACAAAAACCGTACTCTACGCGCACAAAAGGTGAATATTACCATAGTTTACATATAAATTTTACGCGAATTCATTCTCGCATTCACGTCGCTTCGATCTCGATTATGATGATAATCGTGCCAATACGCGAAACGTGAGAAATGGCGATTGATTTTTGTCGATGTTGCAAAAGTGTGAAAACGTTTTTCCAGGATTTGACCCAAGGATCTCGTGTTTGACGCGATGTTTTTAACAATTGAGCTACGGAGGCTTACTTTTAATTTATTTTCAGTATCTGTATTTTCTTAAGTTAATAGGTTAGCTCCCGAAAACATTTTTAGTATTTTAACTACAACTTTATTATTTTATATAAGAAAATATAAAATATTAAGAACAAAATATTCTATATCTACTTACTGCCATACTTCCTTGTGGAGATTAAGATGGGTGTCTTGTCCCAGAGGGGGCAGTTTGTAGTAATCTGTGACGAGAGACTGCGGCTGCGAGTCTTCTGCCACTCCAAGCACGGCTGAGGTGGCGGCGCTGAGGGGGTGCTCGGGTGCCGCTGTTGTATAGTATGCCCTCCACGAATCGCCACTCACTTCCATCACTTCTTTGCGCCTTCTGTTGGCAAGGAAAATACAAATGTCACTTTGGATTTTATCACATGGACCGTTGAACAAGCTATTACTAGCTGTACAATTGTGTTAGTAGAAATTAAATAACCCTTAACACATACTGATATACAATAATATAAAAAAGTCAATTTATGGTTATAAACGGATGCTTACAATGTAAAAATTGTTCCGTTGTCATACTATATAATATATTGTTTACTATCCTCTAAAATACTGACTATAGTTTACGCGAGTAGTACACATTTTAATATAACACTTTAACGGTTTAAAACGCGATATATTAGTCGTCGAGCCGAAGTTAAAAATCATTTTCAAATAAGTTTAACTAATATATCGCGTTTTAAACCGTTAAACTGTTATATTTAAATACTATCCTCTATTCATTCTTAATTTTAAGTAACTTTTAGTCACTAACGCGTCTACGCCGTAGGCCTTTCCTAGTTGTTTCACTCTACTTTAAGTGTTTTCTGTGACGTATAAAACATCTAGTACTTCCTTCCGTCGCTCTCCTTCATTCCTTCTATCTCTCACTTGTGATTCCGAACTCGATTCGTGACGTTTGAAAGCAGCATCACCCGTGGGCGGCATATGAGGTCATTTTTCATTGAGTCTATTGAATCAATGAAGACGAACGTGAAATACCCGTACCGTCTGTAGTTTTACGAGTGACCGACTACAAGTTACGAACCAGTTATTAGGTGTGACCATTTCGGTACGGATACTGACCTTTGATTGTAACCATCTGCAGTCGTCATCGCATAATGTGACGATACTAATTGCTACGTACAGTGAACAGTGAGTCAGCAGGCCGAGTGGCCAGTTCAGCAAACGAGTTATTGGACAGGATCCAAACCAGCGCGGAGCGGACCGGCTGGCTTCGGTTTAGCTGTTCACTTATTGCGCGCTATTTGTTTGTTGATACGTCATGTATGCAGCGGGAGAGGCGTAAGAGATGTTTATGCAAATGCAGATTGAAATAAGGCAAGTATTGTCTGTAGTTTACGCGAGTACTACAAGTTTAAACGCTTTCAAGGATTAAAACGCAAAATATGTTACATATTTTTAATAAACAACGTTGTACCGTTTCGAATTCTTTGCAGAAACCGTGATTATGGGCACTAAAGATGTAGGGTGTATAGTGTCAAAGGCTGCGCTAGCGCCGACTGTTTCCTCGTAATTCGTATTTGGAGAAACTAGCTGGGTCCTTAGAGTGCCCTATCACGGTGTCCTCTCTTTTTACCATACAGCTTCCTAAGAGATTCTATTCAGAACTTATAACTTGAGCATTGTATAATAAAATGAAACAGCTATAATTTTTTAGTGTTTTAACCTAAGGCTCATTCTACCAGCAAGATTAAGACAAGTGACAAACGGTAACTTGTGTTTTGTTTCGACGTCACGTTGGAAGGGTAACCTGGTACCCAACCTGAATGTAGAACAGGTCCAACTCGCAGAACCGGAAGGATACGAGGCAAATCCCTGTTCCCTCGCAACCAGTTTAGGTTGTGTGACGTCACAACCAGCGGTATACGATGCAGACAAATAAATAAAAAATGTTGGAAGCACGCGCCGGACGAGTTTTACCGGATCGTAGTTCTACCTGATTCCTGTTCCTGGTGCTTTATTGATATATCGAGAGGTCACATGACGCTATCACCGGAATCGGCTGCGTTCGTAATCAATCGACTAGATTTAATACTTAGCGTGACCTAGAGATGAAATGCTTCATCTGAATGCCGTGTACTTTGGTCATAACTGTTCTATTCTTTGAAGACTCAAAAATACTAAGAAGTTTATCTTAATTACATATTTCAGGTTCTTCAGCGTATTGTTTGTGTAACCAACGTAATATGTGATTAGAATCATGAACTGCCAAATGTATATAATGATAATTATCCACATTATCATTGTATCTAGCAAGTGAGTCATTTGCCGAGTTGACTGGCGAGCGGGTGCAGCACGTGAATGAGATTCCGGTGCTCACGTAAAAATCGTGCAACGAATCTAACAGGTTTGCAGGTCCTTGCGAGGCCACCGGGACTGGTCTAACCTGCCCTGCGCACCTGAACCTCGAATTTCCGATCTCTTCTAACATGTTTATTCGCGAACGTAAACACGCCGCTGTACCGTTTTTTCACCTACTGCGGCCGCGTCTACGAACGGCGAGGTATCGAAAGAATTTGGGACGAGCGATTCGAGTTATCGCTCTAACAGCGCTCGGTCCGCGCCCAAACACAAATTTATTGATTACTCTGTTCATTGTTGTCACTCGGACGTTTAAGCCGTTTCGCAATTTGCCTTCTCGTCTGTTTGTTTGACTCCGAGCGCTGAATAGCGCGATTAGAAAGTACGGCGCGCAGCTGTCACGAAGACGTGACGTACGCTAGAGCGGAACGGATGTTTTCAAGCAAGGGTTGAAACGATTCTGCGACTCAAACAAAGCATCCGGCAACGGCTTATGCACGACGGAGCGCCATCTCGCCCTCGTCGCGATTGCGTGACACTTTTAAGCGTTTGAAACGTAGAGTCCGTTCGGTTGGCGTCCCACATTCGGAGGCTTCGATTGGAAATATAGATCTGAAGTCAATTAACTGTGAGTCACATACATCTGAGGTCGAACGTACGAAGTGTCATGCGGCGGCGCGTTTCGAAAGCCGCTCCACGTCGACGTCCGGTGTCGCGTCCAACTATCGATCATTCGGTTCGTTAATAAATAACACGTTCGCGTCGGCCGAGGCTTATCTCTGCTCGGGCATGTGGAAAAATTCGGTGTAGGTGTCGTAACCGAGCGGCACGCACGTCGCCCGTAGGGTTGCGTGTGCTTCGCCCGCCCGCCGAGAGCCGATCCTCGCAGGTCGTTGCCTCCTCCGCTTATTAATCTACTAATTAAAATGCATCTAGACTCCTACAAACGCCGATTACTGTTAAACCTCTAATTACAGTGTTATAAATAAACTGCTCTCGAGAAATAACAATTTTGCGCATAGATAGCGGTCTAATTTACGATAAGGTTAGAATAAAGAATAAACCGGTGGATTTTAGCCAATTTCAAGCACTATTAAGCGATATCTAAGCGAATACATTTGAATATTACTTAATTAATTGTCGATCTGACTTCGTAATTATAGATCCTTGTCTAGCACTCTCGGTGAGGTTGGCACAAGTGTAAAAGCAAGACGCGTAATACCTAAGATAAATAACGAATGAGGCTCGGAACTGGCTCCGCAGCTTCACCTCGCTCACCCGGCAGGTGCACGGGGAAAGTGCAGGGAGCGGCTCATATCACGCACGCATTATCATCACAGATAAGAGAAACTAGCATCGATCTAGCTAATTACTCATTAACCGAACTCATATCATGGTCCACCTATACAGAGTGCATTTCAAAGGTATTAATAATTGTTATCTATGGCCCGCGTTTTCCTTTTAATGGCATTTACTTAATATAGCCTATTATTATGACGCAAATGACGCCTTAATGATGTATCATAATTACAGTCTGTGACAATAAAGGAACCACTCGAAATGGCACGTCGCTGTGCGTTTTGTCAATTAAAAAATTCATTGTATCGAATTGCGGCTGCACGCTGCGCATCAAAAAGTAAACATTCTTCATAAATAAATAAAGGATGAGTGCACACTGAGCTACATTCAGCACGGAACGAACCAAACGAGTAGCATTTTCGACAAACTTCTTTTTGTGGCCCGACGAGGAACGAATATGCGATGATTCATTTACGGAGCTGTTCGCCGTATTTGTATCGCTAGGCAGTCTTACTTCTGTTTTCTGAACAGCCTTATATACGGTCAGAAATGTTTTCTTAGAAATATGCGCCCGCGCAGATTAAACACAAAACGGATACTAAATAAGTCTTGCGCTTACCATCCGGATCGAAACTGTATGTTATAATGTATTTACATTAGATTCATTAAAAAGTAAGTAGATTGTTTACTACACTAAGAAAAACAGTTTATATTGGCGTGAAGGAATGATTTGTGTAAAAGATCAAGAAATGAGATTTGTAGAATATTAATAAATATAACAATCAACAATAAATTAAAATCAGTCGTCAATTATCCATCGAATTTTCTACAATTTAAAACATTTTATCATAAATTGAAATAATTTAATTAGCTGTGGGTTCTCGTAGACGTGATATTGAATCTTAACGCTACATCAATATGTATAATCCCATTTCATAAAAAGTCGTCAAAGGAAATGTCAGTGCGATACATTCATAACTCATAAGTCGACTCCTAACTAACTGTATTGAAAATGTGATACTCGACGTGGACAGTAATTGAATAAAGGAACTGTTCCTTTTCACAGTTTTTTGCTAAAACCGTTGACCGCTGATTGACAGAAGTCGCGATCACGCCGCGGTCTCATTGAAAATTATTATAATTCGCTCAGCCATGCTCCGGCAGCCAGCTCATTGTATCCACTTTGCGTCGTCCGATATCAATATAATAACTTGAATAGCCGCAGCGGTTACTCTTGCGCAGTTTTAGTTAACTGAATATTATTCTTATCGTGACCAAGCCTCTTTTTTTATAATAGAGGAGGACAGACGAGCATAGGTTTACTTAATGAAAGGTAAAAAACCCCAACTATATAACACCTAAACAAGATATGCTGTCGACTTATTTTGCCTTTGGATATTCGAGACTTCACATACTGAAACTGAAACGCGATGAAACTTTATGACTTTCGTGACCTGAACGGAATTCGATATTCCCACCACAAGTTTAAGATCTAGATTTCTAAACGAAGTCCAACACGTTTTAGAAAAATTATAAATTGATTAGAGACATGTTCGACGATCCGTTACTTAACAAATAATAATTACCTATACATTCAAAGCCTCCACTCCATGGGGCATAGAATAGTTCGTGGGTTGAAATTCCGGGGAAATATAGATACATTTCAGAAGAACGAACATAGTAATTTTTACAATGGAATATTATTTATACCTCTTATTACATACTCAAATGATTAATATTAAATTTATAAATATTAAATTACGGATACTGTCGAACAGTTATCGAAGAATGCAACACTACGGACCAATTACGCGTCTGTATCTCACTACAAAAACGGCCAGACATTTATCACAAATCATTTTAAAATTATCTTTAACTGCCACGAGTACAAAAACACACGCATCGCTTCAAATAATTCGAAACAGCTACATCTTACATATCAACCGCGTTAAGCCCTTCGAAATAACAGACTCATCAAATAAAATTGTTTTACTTCAACTGCGCTGTTTTTTTACTCACATATTTAATAATGGTCTCTGGGTCGATAGATATTGACATACTTAAGTTGTAGTTTGTATAAATTATGGAAAAACTTAAAAATGTCGGTAAAACTATTCTAATAGTTTAAACCGTAGTAGTAGAGCTACAGAGTACTTAAAATTAAAAATTAAACTCAAACAATTAACTAAATAAAAAAAAATAATTCACTTTTATAGACATCAATAAAGTTTACATTTGTATTATTAAATTACATAGTAACCAAAATACTGAAAATGGTAATACAGCCGAAATTAGTAATAACCTTCAATAAACAATAAGTTAAAGATCAAAACATAAAAACGAGCAAAAATAATTAATAAAGATTACATAAATAGCAATTGAAAATGTACTTCAAAATTAAACAAGAAGAATAAAATTCTTGTTTAACGTGTGATTTATAAAAAATAGACAACATCGACTTTATAGACTTATTGCTCTTTTGGACATATTTGATTTAGCTACCTAAATTAAGCATGAAAGAATAAATTAACGACATCGTCGCCTTTACGAGCGCACAATACGCTGCGCTGGCGCAGCACGCATTGTGCAGCGCGAATTGAAACAGGTTGTGGCTGACAGGTATCTATATATCATGATTTATGCCCGATTATTCTATCCACCGGCTATAATTAAATCGGGAATCCATTATGTAGGTATGCCCAAAAGATCGCTGACGCGGCCCACGGAAACGGGCCGGAGCTGATTTAGTGCTTTCAGCTGCTTTATCGCTTTGTCTAACTCAAATTTGAGATAAATCACTGCTATCGACGCGTCGCAATATTTCAGCGAGTTTTAAGATTTACAACTGGACACGATAAGGCTAGAATTTATTCGTCGTTCTCAAGTCTAGAGCATAATCAACGCCTTCGGAATGCGTGTACCGTTACCTTTATAGCGCTAATCGCCCGCTAACCGTTCGTTCCGATCTTGCAAAACGATTAATACTTTATATAAACATAAAAAGGCAACAGTTTAAGGACCCTGAATAGCCACATCTTATTGAGACGTATTATTAAAGGATTGGAAAAAATACAAAGAGGAAAGGAATAAGTTGTGGAGTATGCCAACAGTTGTCGGCGCCTAACTGCAGTACGTGTTTTTAATAAGTACAAAAATTACGAGTGACTAGTCGGCCGACAATTGTGAGAACTCGATTCATTATCCGAGTGCAAATAGTAGTGGTCAGTCTGGAATCGACTATCGACTACGAATTATCGGTGTATGAACGGTTTATTAGGGATGCCCCGAATGCGGTTTGAACCGAAACCGAAATTCGGATAATGTTTGTTTAATAAACTACAACAGTGATTTTAATTGAATAACTTATATACATATATTAAAATAAAATGTATTGGTATTTGTGTATTATGCACACGCGTGTGTATACAATAATTCTATAAAAAGGATCATAATTGTTTACAAGTTTATGACATTTAATAGCATTTTTATTTAACATGTAAAAAAAAACAAATGTGTCGGTGATTTCTAGATGGATAATTTTATTGCACGCAATTTTGGTTGAACAACGGCGATTAGCTAAACCGAATGTAAGCCGAATTCTGGTCCATTCCTAGTTTTCACTATCGTTTCGCCGTTAAAAGAGCATGTCAATCATTTTACCGAGTAATCAGTGATGTAGAAATGGCTACGGCGGGAGATGGCGGGGTCTTAGATAAGCTTTTAATTGCGTCCGACGCCTGTTTACATATTCCAGAGGATGGTTGCGGATATCCTACAATTAGGACCTCCAGCTATTTGCACAATCAGAGATAACGCATGTGTTTAAATAAC